CACGAGAAAGCACCTAAGGAAACCAAAAAAAGAAAAGGATAAAAGAAAGCAACAGCAGCAACAGCAAGAAAGTAGCCAGTAACCACCTCTACCTATAATAGTATCCATGACGTCCAATGGATTGACTCAAACCTTCTTCTTCTTCTTCTTCTTCTTCTTCTTCTTCTTCTTCTTCTTCTCAGCTTCGTGCCTTACCATAAAGCTAAGAAACATTTTCTAAAAGATTCGAAGAATTTCTTATTTCTCGTATTAGTCAGATAAATAATACGAACATTAAAGTAGATTTACTACATTGTTCAGTTAACTCAAAAATCCACTCATCGTTAATGGACATTTTGTTATATTATATATATATATATATGTTTTATTTATTATATCACAAAGAGAGTTATTTTTTGTGTTCCCCTTTCCATACGAAATATTAGAATTTAAGTGATTCTTGACGTTCGAGAAAATTGAAATAAAACGATCGCGTTAATAAGTCCCTTATAAAATGTTACCCTCCTGGTAATAAGGTTCATTATATTTTTTTAATTGATTAAACGTGAATATTACGAGAATCGAGGGAAAAAAGATTGGGGTGGTGGTGGTGGTAGTGGTGGTGGTGGTTTGACGCTATATTGGCTATCCCTTTGATTAGATGTGAAAGCAAGCGAAAACCTTCCGATATAGCTTACCTTAATTAACGCTTTGCGGCTGGCAGGTATTTGATTCTCCACAATCCTATATGAACTTGCTCGTTATCGACGTTTATCTATATATACTATATATATATATATCTGTGTACTCCTAACAAATATACTGAAGTTATCCCCTTTTTCTTTTTTTTTCCATTAAACTTCTTTTTACGATGTTAATTTTTTTGAATTACTATCCATCATTAAATTAAACGATTGACTCGTAACAAAAAAAAAAACAAAACAAACAAAATAAACAATCAAAATAAATTCGTGTAAAAGGATTAATTTATTATTGGTTTATCTATTTTATTAATTTTGATCTATTACCGTTATTGAAATAAGATTCAAAGATAGAAAATAATAATGTCTTCGGGGTAAGTGGAGAAAAAAATAATCACGTTTCTGGTATCTCGTCAGGTTGAAAGTCAAGTCTTTATTGCTCGAACATTTTCCCGTTGTAGTATTAGTAGTAGTAGTAGTAGTACCTAGTTGTTAATCTTCTGGACCAGAAATAGCTTCCGGTACGAATCCGTTTACGAAGAAGAGATGTACCCGGTATACCCGAGTACCTGTCTAGTTCCACGCCCTTTAATTATCTACGCTCTGACACACGAACTAGCTGTAACAAAGAATAACGATATTACCATTATGCTCATGGAAAAAAAACACGAACGAGAATACTATTACTATATTATATTCTTCATTCTCTCCAACTTCTCTATCTCCTCTCTCATTCTCTTAATACTTTCCTCTTGTTCGTCTTCTTTCGAGGTAATATAGAGGTCGTAGTATTTTAAACGACGAAAGTTATTGACCAGTTAGCAGTCGAAGAAAACCCTTTGTTCTCCAAACTACTCGAACCTTTTTAATCGTCTTTCCTTTAACGATCGTTTGATTTCTTCTTTTTTTCTTTTAATTTCCTTTGCTCACAATCCAGTGTCAGTTTTTTCGTTTTATCTCATATATATATTATACTTTCTTCTTAAAATAATATTACAAGTTTTTCTTTTTTTTTTTTTTTTTTTTTTTAATATTAAACAAAGGGATGATGATGGTAGAAGAAGGGTTCCTCTCGATAAAAGTTTTAAAACGTGTCAAATCTAAAGAGAGAGAGAAAGAAAGAGAGAAAGAAAAACAAAAAGAAATAAATAAAAAAGAGAAAGAAGGAACAAGGAAGAAAAAATCCGNTAATTTCCTTTGCTCACAATCCAGTGTCAGTTTTTTCGTTTTATCTCATATATATATTATACTTTCTTCTTAAAATAATATTACAAGTTTTTAATTTTTTTTTTTTTTTTTTTTTTTTTTTTTTTTTGAAATATTAAACACGATACAACAACAGCGGTGATCTTTGGTCTCACTATGTTTTCTTGTCAAATCTAAAGAGAGAGAGAAAGAAAGAGAGAAAGAAAAACAAAAAGAAATAAATAAAAAAGAGAAAGAAGGAACAAGGAAGAAAAAATCCGTGGGCGTTGTTTGTCCCTGGCCTCTGGTTGGTTGAGTTGAGTTGAGTTCGTTGATATTGCCTTATGATGCACATGAAAATGATTTAGGAACGTTTTCGAATCACACAAAAGAATCTGAAAGTTCGTTGACCGTCCTTTCGGTAGGTCTCCTCAGACTCCTCCTCACCATCGGTGTTCGTCGTGTGCCCTTGGAATTCCTTATATGATTCGTACCTCTATGGTTCTTTCTTCGTGAGAAGAAATTTCTCAATCAGCGTTTTTCCCCGAGATAATAATAATAATCGCTTTAAATTTTCCTCCAATTTTTTTTCATTTCTTTTTTTAATCTTATCGTCTAAAGAATTTGATCAAGAATTTTGTAAAGATGAATTATGGTATTTGAAGCATTTTTAACAAATTCTTTTGACTAACACGTTCAAATAACTCGTTTAATTTTTCAACGAGAAAAATAATCCATGTACGTTTTTGTTTTTTTTTTTTTTATGGATCTTTAATAAGAAAAACATTTTATTTATCTTCTCCTTGTGCACGTTTCAACGATGATGATAATATACCATCATCGTGTGCAACTTTGTAATCAACCAATTTTATCGTATCTTTTATTATTTCTTTCATTTTCATTTTCTTTTCTTATCTTTTCTTTTTTTTGGGGGGGGGGATTTTATTTGGCTCCCATCCGCGTATCCTCTCTTGGGATACTGTGTGTTAGTTCGGCGTAAAGTGTACGTTTGGAATTTACCCATAGGATAACTCTCAACATCCACCCACGGACACTTTGCGACGAAGAAGAAGTTTCAGGTTTCGTTTCGTTCGTTTCTTTCCTTCTTCGAAATGAAAAAAAAAAGAGAAAGAGAAAGAATAAGAAAAAGAGGAAAAAGGGAAAGGTTTGGTGGAGGATTACAGATGTCTACCTCCTAGATGTTGTATGCAAATTTCTACCTTCTATCTCTGCACAGGCAGACACGTCGAGCTATATGAATCATGCTCCGCGCTTCTTGATGAAAATAAGAGAAAGAGAAAGATAAAGAGATAGAGAGGGAAAGAAAGATATCCAAATGGTTATGGGAGAGTTGAAAAACGGGAAATACGTCAGACAAAACGGTAAATATTGTCACCTTTTTTTTATTCGGTGCCAACGTTCAACTGCAAAACTGAAATAGTTCCTAACTCTCGAGTTATCGTCACCAAGTTCGTACATTTTCATTTCTCGATAATTTGCATTATTCGACAGTGTCTCCCTACGCGAAATAAAAAAAAAAGAAAAAGAACATTCTTTTCCTTAAATTGGACTCAATCCAATTTTAAGTTCCATTTCTCGTTGGTTTATAAACGATATCAATTATATTAATTACTATCCACACCGAAACTAAATAATTTTATGCAGAGATTGCGGGAAAACGAATATCCGCATCGGATCGATAAAAAAGAAGAACGAATTTTCGTCGTTATATATTATTATAAATCAAGATACTTTTGAATAAACAAAATAAGAATAAAGAATAATAATATATTCAAAGAGTAGTGTGACGTTGAATGAGTTTGACATAATAATCATTTTTGTAGTGAAAAATACGTAATAAAACCAGCAACCATCACCCTCTCTCATTGATGATGAGTAAATGTTGTTATTATAAACTATTGGGTATATAATAAACTCATTGTGACTTTGTGACTCTCTCTTTCTCTCTTTCTCTCTTTCTCTTTCTCTCTTATCCTTGACCAGTACAAGCAACGAACGAACAAACGATAAAATGAACGGTAGCCCTGTGATAGATCACACACATACACACACACATAGAGAGAGGTTGGTCCGTTTACTGGCACGTAACGAAGACGGTCACGCGAGCTCCAGGAGCTCGTGCATAATGACCGTGATCTACGGGGCCGTGTATAGCAACGAGAGCAATACTAACCAAGTCACTGGTAGGTTGGTAACGACGACAAAGACAACCGATGAACCAACCAACCAACGAACGTACGAACGAACGAACGAACAAACCTTGCCTTCCATTATTCGAACGGAACGAACCGCAATCAAGAGAGAAAGAGATGGCCCCGAGGCGTGTCGGCCTCGAGACATCGATGGCGAACTCGATTTTCTAATGGGGTGGAGGGGTTGGAGCACTCGAATTATCATCCGCTCCTGAAATTGGCCTTGGAAAATTTCCACCCAACTTACATACTTCCTTCTCCCTATCTTTTTGTTTTTCAAGTTTTTCCCTTTTTCCCCACATCTTTCTTTCTTCTCTCTCTCTCTCTCTCTCTCTCTCTCTCTCTCTCTCTCTCTCTCTCTCTCTATTTCTTTTTCTTTTTCTTTTATATACAGTGATTAGGAAAAATGTTCCCTCGTTTAGGTGATAATCTCTCGTAATCCATTCTATTTTTATTTTTATTTATTATTCATATACATATATATATTTGAGAGAGTAATCTATAAAATAAAATAATTAAAAAAAAATAGATAGAAAACGATGATATACTTAGTCTCTCTTTGTTTAAAAAACTTTTTATTTCAAATATGGGGGTGGTGGTGTAAGTCAAGGTAAAAAATAACTTTGCCCAAGAAGAAAAGAAACCCTTCGGGCACTATTTTCGTGTGTACTATGTGTGTGTATTTTTTTCTTTTTTTTTTTGTTGTATATTTCCGTTCTCGTTCGTAAAACATCCCCGTTTACATTGGTTTCGATCGGAAAATTAAAGGTCGACGTTGACGTAAGGAAACTCCGTGCCTCGCGTTACTTTTTCTTTTTTATTGTTGGAGGAGGAGGAGGAGGCAGGGCGGAAGGGAAAGAAGTAGCCCTTCGAGCAATTCGCAACTTTATATTTTTCTCTTCTTTTTTTTTTTCTCGTAGAGAGAGAGAGAGAGAGTGAGTGAGTGTGTGTATGTGTGTGTGTTTGTGTGGTACGCGATAGAAGAAGTATGTCAGTGAGCGGGTTTTGATCAAAAGGTGAAATCAAAAGAAATGCTGCGGTGCTGTTTGGTGCCGATTTTAAAAGAAAAGATAGAAAAGATAGATAGATAGATAGATAGATAGATAGATAGATAACTGTGCGAAGTGAAAAGATCGAACGGTTTTGGTTATCGATGCGCAGGGAACGGTTATTCTACTTCCTGCTGCCTAACATTTTCATGAAAACGATCGTGACCATTAGCGGAAGAAGAAGGTGAAATTGCAAAAAAGAGAGAGAGAGAGAGATAGTGAGAGAGTGAGAAAGAAAGGAAGAAAGAAATAAAGAAAGAGAGAGAGAGAGATGAAAGAGAAAATGATAGCGGAAATAGCAAAAGCTTCAGAACTGTAAAACGTGTGTGTGTATGTATGTGTGTGTTGGTCTCTGCTGCTGCTGCTGTCCGTCTCTCTGTATACATATATAGATATGTAATGATTCAGCCTACGGAAGGAAAAAATATTTCGGAGATCGAAGAACAGCTTTTCTATCACACGGTTCTTTATCCGAGAGCTTTTCGTTGAAAAATTCTCAAAGAGAAGGAGGAGAGTCCTTTTTTTTCTATCTTTTTGTCTACTTTTAGATATATATCTCTCTCTCTTTCTCTCCCTCTATTTCTCTCTTTATCTATCTCTCTCTTTCTCTCTTAAAATTAAGAGAGAAAAAGAGACTCGAATGAGCCGATATATATTTGATTCTCGTTGAAGAAGGCTTTTCTTTCTTCGAAAAAACTCGAATAGTAGTAACTCGATACGTGATAAAGAAATAAACGAGAAGAGGAAGAAGAAGAAGAAGAAGAATAAAAGAAAAAAAGGAAGAATATAGAATTGTTAATAATTCGAATCAACGATAATGGATGCCTTGGAATTGCAAGCTGCCCTGGTGAAGTTGGATCCGGCGACTACGGTGACGCCGATCACTTCGAATGTCAAACTGATGTCGTCTCACCATCGTATTGCCTTTGCTGTCGACGTAGACGATGACGATCTTACCCTAAGAAGAAATACTTTGGAAGTCGATGAAAAACAGTCGATCGGTGTTGGTAATTGCTCATCATCAAGCGTTGAACATCAACAGAGTTCTTCATCGACTATTACCACTACCTCGAGCACCGGGGGAACGGTTACGAATGCTACGAGGAAACTTCAGAACGCGAATTGTGGTGGCGCCAGTCTGACGATGACTACTACTACTACTAATACTACTACCCATCAGAATCATCATACCAGCCAACAACAGATGGGGGTGTCCAAGTGTAATCTCGTCGAGGTCAGGTGACGCCAGCCCTGCTTCGGCGTTAACATGATTTATCACACCTATCCGCCGCACCGTGGTATCAAGCACTATGTTAAATATGCGAAGGAGAAGAGACATCATCATCACACTATGCATCATCAGCATCATAGATCTCATGTGGTAAGTCCACGTATTGTCTCGTGATCAACAACGATCCTTCGATGTGTACCGACAAAGATTATTATTATTATTATTATTATTATTCTTTATTTCTCTATCTCTATCTCTATCTTTCTCTATCTCTTTCTCTCTTACGAGGATTCTAATTCTGTTAAAATCAATGTGCATTCTATCAAGGACATTAAACGTACAACGATGATACCAAATGTCTTTCAGATTGATCATTATCACTTTGATATTTCTCATGACGAATAGTCACCGTTCTTAGAAATGCCATTATTGCAACCATGTGATCTAATCATTTATTAGAAAGTAAATATTAAAAGGAAAAAAAAAATAAAAGAAAAAAGAAACTTTGTTATACGATACGAGATTTCTATATTGTTTTTTTTTTTTTTCGAATAGCATGAAAGAAACTACCACCACCCCATATAGTATAAATATATATATATACAGTAAGAAAGAGGAAGTTTGTGTTTTCCCAGTTCATAGTTCAAGTTATAACAGGGAAGAAACGTTACCAGTGTAGAGATTACCAGTGAAGATCTTGGGTTCCTTCCCAATGGATTCGCTTTGATTCGTATCTAATGTTGCGACAGGTCTAAGAGTTTGTGCTCGAGAACACGGCAAATGTGTATCACCAAGTCAACGAACAATGCGATATGCGTTCTCTCATGGTAGTGGTATTTTGCTGCAGCGATAGCAACAGCACCATCACTACCACCTTGTACCCCTGTTGTACATAATTCGATATAGAGGGACGAACACGGTTCATGACAGTATATATTTAGGTGTAAGTGTTTCTGTGTGTATATGTCTACATATTTAACCTATGTATGTGCATGTATCTATCTCAAGGGAGAAGAGATCTCGCAGTTAACCGAGGTATAATCGGTCCATCGCAGCATTCGAGTATCATTCGAGATCGCTAACGTTAATAGATGCGCTAGTCCCTCTTCCCCACCCTCCCCACCCCTCCTCTCCTCTTAACCATTTCATTCTCTCTCTCTTTCTCTTTTTCTCTCTATGGTTTCAAGTGTAGGTAGGTGCATATATGCATGTAGAAGTAATAGAACGAGTGTTGAACGATTAATATAACATTTTGTTATCGTTTTGTTCGTCGAATGCTTTCAATTAATTTCTCTCTCGATAATAAATGTTTTCAAGAGTTTGTAGATAGAAGAAAATGAATAAATCTTTTTTTATTTCTTTACAAAATTTATTATGGTCGAATGGTTTATTGGATTTTCTTTCTCTCTCTCTCTCTCTCTCTCTCTCTCTCTCTCTCTCTCTCTCTCTCTCTCTCTCTCATATATGTATTGATATCAATTTGTGTATTTGTTGTGTGGAATTCGTTAAAGGAGTTAATACATTTATTTTTAATGTTTCTCGAGATAATATAATATACCTATCTATTTTTCAACGAATCGCAATTAAAACCCATTGTTATATCGTTTACATGGTAAATGCGAATTATCGGGGAGGGGAGAGGGGGAGCGAAAAAAATACCGTGCATTCGCGGTGAAGCGTTGGTTCAAAAATGATTCACTTTCGAGTTGTTCACGTGTATGCACATCGCTATCGGAAAAAAGTCATGTAAAATCTATTCAACGATTGCATTACAAAGCTTGGGAAAGTAGAGATTATCAAATTGTTGTGAAATCTCGACAGAAAAAAAAATAGAAAAATAACGTTGATTTAAAAAGTACTACACTATGATATATATAAACATATGGTTTTAACTAATGGATTTTATTGGATTTTCTATTTGCATAAATTTGCAATTAAAAACTGCCGTCGAACGACACGGATATATGAAACGTCACTCGTTATCTAAAATTACGTGTACATACGTATGTACGTACATACATGATTCTTGCTAACAAACCATTAAAAATTCATAAACTCGAGGTGTCGTTTAATTTTTCTTGCCTCTTGTTTTGTATCTTTTTTTTTGAGAGAGAAAGAGAGAGAGAGAGAGAGAAAGAGAGAGAGAAGGAAAATCAAATGTGCAACCATCTTTACAAGATTATTCATTCAAGGAGAGTCCAACGTTTTTCTTTGTTCTTCTTGTTATTTTTTTATTTATCAACGCAACCGTACTGACTTTAGATTCACTATTGACTGGTTTATCCAAATAGTATTAGGTTCTCAGAGAAGAGGAACAGTGAAAGAATAAAAGGGTGTAACAACGTATAGGACACATCTGTGAACTATACACGTACACGTACACACACACATTGCGTATATACATGTAACTGTATCTACAGATGGACAGAGATAAATGGATAGATATCGACGAGCAAGAGATAGATAGAGAGAGAGAGAGAGAGAGAAGGAAGGAAATTGGGCGTCCGTTGTCCTCGGACATTTCGCATGTACCGGGTGTTGTGCAGATCGATACCATGGAGTCTTGTAACTCGACCGTTTCCACCGGAGAAGCCTCTTTTTTTTTTCTTGTCCATGTAACGACATATACATCGGTAGCACGTGCGAATTTGAACAACGTACCGTTTCACATACGCATTAACATATATATATACAATATATATATATATATATGTGTGTATATATGTATGTTTGTATGTGTGTAAATACATACACGCTTACGATTTACATATGCATGTCTCTACGGCACCCTTCGTTATCGGACGAACTGCCTGCGGCACGACTTTGGTCCACACAACATGTTCACTCTCATATTTAGGGCGGTTCTCGACGACCAAAAGTGTCACCGTCGTGTCCTCTTTTTCACCGTGTACACATAGACATAGGGAAGGGTTAAAAAAAGGAAGATGGGAAAGAAAAAGTAATGGACAAAAAAAAAAAATAAAAAGAGTGAGAAAGAGAGAAATAGTAAAAGGGTGATACTACAGTGACCAGGGCCACCAATCTTTTAATTAAGGATTTAAGCCATGGATTTAACGTGGGCTCGAAAAAACGTTGTATACACGTGCTTACACGCGCGTGAGAGATTTAAGTCTCTTTGATTTTCTCTCTTGCTCTCAACTCGCCTCCGCTGATATCTTTCAATACCCTTTTTCTCACATACTTTCTTAAAGTACGTGTTCCGATGTCGAAGACTGACGAACGCTACCTCGAAGAGGCTTCTGACGTGTTGCTATCGATATTCTCTCACACGATAGACAATATATATATGTACTAGCCCTTTTAAAGGGTCTACTTATGTATATCGGTTTTGGATACCACGGATTTTCACGCAAAATTGGGTGAGAGGCTTTGTCTGTTTGATTATCGATAGGGAAAATCGAAATCACTTATAAAACGTGTTACACCTTGCAGTGTACACCTGATCATTCTTTTCATCTTATTGTTCTTCTCCTTTCTTTTTCTTTTTTTTGCTTTTTATTTTTTTTCTTTTCTTTTCTTTTCTTTTCTTTGTTCGAGTCTGTTAGAGATAAATCTATTTCAAAGAAAGAGATATCTTAACGATTGACGTTTCATTCTAGTTCAGTGGATTAAGAGCGCGGGGGTGGAGGGGGACCAGAGAAGGAAAATGTCTGGCTGTTTTCTTCTTATACGCACACCTTTCTCTTAAATATCATAATGATTTCGAGAGAGTTGATCTCCACGTCTCGTAAATTACAGGATGTGCGTGATCGAAGGAAACAATTCACAACTCTCGGACCATATCCTTTCGACCACATGTAGATGCAATTTTCGAAATGCAATTTTGTTAAACGTTCCCCTTTTTAAAAAAAAAACAAAGATCGAGACAAGCGAGAGACGGTTAAAAAAAATTTATCAATGAATAGAAAACACGCGTTTTTTTTTTGTATAAAGAAATATTTTCTTACCTCCGTGATGTGTTTATATTATACCATGGTCTCTTTCATTTTCTCTTTACTTCTTAAAAAAAAAAAAAAAAAAAAAAAGAGAGATAGAAGAACTAGAAGACTAAAAAGGATTCTGTCCTTGGCCCGAAACTCTCGTTCCATGGATATATTTATCCAAGAAAGCGTATCTAACGTTTCAGGAGAAATGATTATTAATAAATATGAGAACTTTCGTAACATGGACGCACAATAATGTTGGTTCAAATAATACGACATTTTTCCCCTAGTTATTATACAAAGTTTTCAAATTTATAAGGATCCGCGATTAACAAACTTTTATAAAATATTTAATAAAAAACATTTCGAGACTACTTGTATTATATACGTTTAAAATTGTTCATGCAAAAATTGTTCATTCAACTATCGTAATAATATAAATAACGAATATTAAAAATAAAGAAGATCTAAACGTGGATGACGAAATTTTCGTATTTTTTCTGTAGACACGAGGAAAATATCATATATATATATATATGTATCTACCTATATGAGAACTAAAAATAGAATGCAAATATGTATATTCGATGTTAGACGACAAGTACGTGTGTGTCTCCATATGGAAACGAATCTTTGACTGCAGTCGATCTCTTTATTTTGAACGAACGAAGTGGATTAACCAAACAGGATTTTCCGAAGCCCTCGTGTCTCGTTTGCGCATACCCTACTATTTTACCACCACGTGTTGCAGTCTTGTTCAACAAGAGTTCTTATTTTTTTCCTTTTTATCAAGAAATATATTTATTCTTTGACCATGCGTCATATATACTATATATGAGCGTGAAAAAATTGGTAAACTTTCGTGTCGGATTATTTCTAACGTAATCTCTCTCACGATCACGATATAAATTCGATTCGCACGAATGATATATATCCCAATCTTCGATGAAGTCGTTGTCTGGTGAGAAAAACTTTCGTAATCGAATTTAATCATATATACTTATGTTACCCCGCGACGTATATATATATATATATATATATTCGCGAAGAAAGATAGGGTACGAGGGGGAGGGAAC